AGGGGCTCGGGGACAGGGGCGGGGGGCAGAAGGGCGAGCAGGGCGGTGGGGAGGGCCGCCAGGGGCAGGGGACACCTGTCTGAGCCGCCCTTTGGTCCACTCAGAAAGTGCTCTGCTCCAGCCGACGGCTCGAGACGCGAGGAAAAATGCCGAGTGTCATCCGCCACCTTTGCCACCACTTTCTTCCACTTCTCCCCTGACCCCACAACCTCGCGCCTCGGGTTGGGTCAGTTTGCTACATGAGAGAAGTTCTGTTCGGTCTTCTCAGGTGCGTTTCAAGGCGCTCCAGCCCTGAACCTTTCAAAACTGACGACCCCTCCCTGAAATGCAAGGAGGCGAGAGCAACCTCCTGAGTCCCGCGGGCCTTAATCCGAAATTCACGGAGCTTGCCCCCGCCCCGTGGCTGCCCAGCAGAAACCCTTTGAAACGACTTGGGTCAGGGCCATATGTGAGCTTTGAAAAGCAACTGTGCTCTCTTCCTCCCGGGTTCCGGTGTTTTTCTTTCTTTCCTTCAGCCTCTTTCGTTTGGGGATCCTGATAAAGCACCTCCAGGGCCTCAGGATGGAGGAGGCTGCCAAGCAAACCCTCTTTAAACCTAAGACGTCTTCATCAGTTTTGGAAGTGGCGCCTAGTCAGTTCCCTCCAACTCCCCACAGTTTTCTTTGTGTGTCTCTGAAGAATGAGTGTACAGTACAAACTGGAAAGGTCTAGTCTAGTTTACCTCAATTATGCAAAACCTCTGCGAATTGCTCGTTGTTCAGCTCTCTTACTCTTTTAAGTGTTAAAGTATTTCACTTCATTAAATTCATTAATTCTTTTAAACTACTTCAAATATCAAGATGCATGTTATCAGGCTTAAATAAAAATGGATATATGTATTTAAAACGAGACATAGGCAGTAGCATTTTATTTAAAGGAAGTGTCATCTTGACAAGAAGGCTCTGTTTCCTCTGTATCAGTCAGTAATTTGATGATATTTTGAAAGCCTGTGTGCTATGACATTATTTGATTACATTCAATACATATTTAGTTATGAACTTGTGGCATTTATTAGATTTTTTTAAATTATGTGTATAACTTTGTCAATAGCCTATGTGGTTGAACAAAAGTTTGTCCAGGTCTTTTTAAAACAGAATTGTAACAGGGTTGAGTTTGTTTCCGTCTTCCCCTGCTGGCTCTTTTTAAATGTCTCCTAATCCTCTGAGCCCAAGATTCCTTTGCAATATAAGTGTCTTTTTGTTCCATTCACAGGAAAAGGCTAGTTGAATAGGTCTGCAATGGGTTAAGGATGAAGGGCATTAGGAAACAACTGTCTAATTAAAATTATATAAACTTAAGCAATTCTTTGCAAATTCTCCAAGAACTGAAGCTTTTTTGTTGCAAAATGAAATTTTATCACATTGAAGAGGTTTGGACTGGGTTTATTATGTGGTTGTGTGTGCTGCTGCTGTTTGTAACTCAGTGTTACCAAAAGAATATCTTAGAAGGTTTCTCTTAAGCCACATGGCAATAAAATGTAGTTATGTCTCCCTGTCAGGAACCATCTGGATTCAAATGAAAATCTCAGTGACTTATCTAGATATATATAGGATGTTAAACTTCCAAGTGATTGATTGAATTTTAAAGGGTTTTGGCTGGATTTTTGATTGTCTTAGAGCTGGTGGGGATTCAGAATTCAGGGTATTAAGCATCTGCTGAAATAAAATATTGGCTGAAACTTCCAGCTTAAGTATTTTTTTTTTTTAGTAATACATAGGTATTTTGAAATTGATTTATATGTCCACATAGATTTGTTAAAATTGTATTGGAAAAGATTGTTAGCTGGACATCTCATCTATGGAATGTGATGTGTACATATACATGTTTTCTGGCATACAGATAAAAATAGAAAATGGGAATGGTCGGGGGTTCTATATAATCCAAACCACACAAAGAGAAATGATAGTTTTAGCCACATACTTGTTTTAAATAGATGGAAAAAATTCTAACAAAGAAAGTAAATAAGCTCCAACACAATAATACTAAGAATGAGCCCATATCATTATATTTTGAGAAGTTATGGCTGTCCCCAAGACTGAGTTCTTTGAAAGACTGGACTGTTTTAGGTGCTTCTATCAAATGTACATTTAAATTTGTGCCTAAACTATAGACCTTTTGGCATCTCATAGATAGAGTACAGGATGGTTTACTTTATCACTAGCAAAACATTTATTGTACAGGATAGTGTCCTGTTTTTTGTTAGTCCTGGGAAAGAAAAATAGTTCTTCAGATCCATTTTTATGCAAATAAATTTAAACTCATTATTTCTGTTCAGTAGACTATGGAAAATCCTCCCTAGTTGATTCTTTGATTACAGGTATTTACCAGTTTTATATTGGGAGCAGGTAGTTTGAGTAATGACTGTTAATAGCTGCAGCTGTTACTTAAATGCATTAATCTGAGGGATGTCATGGGATAGCTGGGCTGATTTTTTAATGTAACATATGTACAACTTATAACAGTAATTTAATTTCCATTTTGCAACTTATTCACCTGAAAGAACAGTAGCATAAGATATAAGTCTTAATCTGTCCATTCTCAACTTATGAAATTTCTTTTTTTAAAGAGGAAATGGTGAAAATCGAGTTAGTGATGTGAGAAACAGCAAATCTCATGAACCAAAATGCAAATATCTGAAAGAGAAAATGAGCACTTCTAAAACTTACATAAGTGCTTTTATAGGTCTAGAGTGTTTTGTGTGAGATTTAGAAACCATTTATTATCTCTTTTTAACATTAGGCCCAGTGTATTCTGCAGTTAATAGTCATAAAATCTTGTGATTTTATTTATGGAGTTCTAATGGGCATATATAGTGTAAGACTAATATAGACTCATTCTTAAAGTTTCAAGCCAATTCAGCCATAAAGCAGTAGGAAAAGCTGATTTTGTTTTTTTTTAATCCTGTGTTTATGATTTTCATAATGTAGAAGCTATTATTTAGTCTTTTTAAACAACTGGAAAATCTATTTTGGTCAGATTTTAGTATAGATATGTACAAGTAAATGAAACATACAGTTCCTTTTGTATGTATGTACATGATTATTAAAATCATAGTGTTGGGTATTCAAAGAGCATTTTCACTGCTAATTGTAGATTTCCCTATCCTGTGTCTTTCCCGTTGTCTAAATTAATCTATTTGTTTATTGCGTTTCAGGCCTGCGACAAGGACCCCCAGTGTGGTCGAGGCATGTGCTGTGCTGTTAGTATCTGGGTTAAGAGCATAAGGATTTGCACACCTATGGGCAAAGTGGGAGACAGCTGCCATCCACAGACTCGAAAAGTTAGTATATCTATTTGCATTCATGGTAATTCTCTTATGTTGCTGTACCTTAATTCCAAGCAAGGCCTGTATGACTGGAAGCCTGGGGAAGTGTCCCTGAGGTTAGAAGTCAGAGGAGACAACAATGGAAAAGAACCCCTCTGTCCTATCCTGTCCTCTATTAGTGTTCTTGGTGGTGTTAGAAATACTTGGTCAAAATAATTTCTAACAGATGAATAGGAGTAGAAATTATGTAGGAAAAGTGTATATCAGATTTCTAATATGTTTCTTTACAGAAACCGAAGTATAGAAGTTTCTGAGAAGACTCAGGGTTAGACCTGCTGATAAATCAGAAATAAATAGGATTTGTGTTTTGTTTCTTTCAGAAAATCACCAATAATGCAATTACTCTTACATCTTAATTTAAAAGTTCAATTTGCCTCTGTGCTCATAGAATACATGGTTCATGATTGGCGAGATTAATGATACTTAATTTTCCAGTTTATTATGTAGAGGCCCAACCTCGTAGTGACCTGATAACACTTTGGAAAAGTTAATGTCACAAAGTGATGCGACCATAGGGGCTTTAGAGGTTATGTTCACCTGTGGGGCTATCAGGTGTGCATTCATCAGGAAGGGGGTGAGGGAGTCAGAAGGGAGCGGTGAAGCATGTGGCGCTGCTGAAAGCAGGGCTCTTGCCCTGCAAATTGAAGACATTTGGAATGCTGTACAGCACCAGCAGATCCCCTAGGGCTGCCGGGTTGCAGTCCTTCACTCCAGTCTCTCCTCCCCAGTGTACTCCTCTGTGAAATGTGGTCCAGGGCGTTCAGATGAGCCCCAGGCAGGGCATCTGGCTGGAGGCAGAGCTCCACTTCTCCTCAATGTTCTTGATGTACACGGTCTACTCTGTTGAATATTTTCAAATCCAACAGAATTCCACCTTCTACTTTATTTTTTTCCACACGTGATTCAGCATCTACAACTATAAGAACTAGACATCTTTCCTGTAATCCACGGTGCCAGATACCACTTAATATTTTGCCCTTCTTGGAGCAAACACAATTAAGCAAACTGTGGGCTGTGGGCAGGAATACAGCCCATCTGAAGACTAAGTCAGCTGTTGGCTTTTCTGTGGTTGCCTTGTGAAATCCTTCCTGTCACATTCAAACTACTCCTCCCTGTAGTTTCACCATGCAAGACTGTCCTGCTGTGTTAAAACATATTACCTTTTATTCTTGGCCATTTAAAGACAGACAAGGTTTTAAAGCATGAGTTGTCACTCTCAATGCCAAACTCCCTACAAGTAGGCAGAGCGGCCCAGCTGCCTTTGGCACTGCTCTTGGCTCTCAGAATGGGCTCTGGATGTGAGTGTTCACGGGTACCTTTCACTCCTTGTCTCTGAAAAGTTACTCTTCCCCTTCTCGTTCAGGAATTGTGGCACTTTATACAGGGTTAGCGTAACGTCACATGCTCTAGACATGTGAAATCTATCTAGTACTGTTTCTGTAAAGAGCAAGCGGAATGCAACACAACTGTGGAACTCTTTTCGTGTTAGTAATAATAGTTGCCACTTGTTAAGTGCTGTGATGGACCAGATGCTCTGTTCTGACTGTTGCGTGTTCTGACTGAATACTCACCACAACCCTGTGGGTTAGGCTTATTTTTGTCACGTTCTGTATACAGCCGTATTAAGTTTCAAAGAGGTCCAGGAACAAGTTGAGGTCCCGCAAGGATACCCTAAGCTTCCCTTCTTTCTCACATGCCGTCATCCATGTGGTCCTACCGTGGAGCTCCTCTGCCTCTCTGAAAGGAAGTATCTTGCTAATTTAAACGTTTTTTAAGTCTAATTAACCAGAACTAGTGTGTATGGATAACAGAGACTATATATTCACTGGGGTAAGGGCACAAGGCCAGGAATGGGGATCTGTGCCCTCTTGTAGTTTTGATGAGTTTTCCAAATCTGAGATGTTTGAAAGAGAATCAAACTGTTCCCTGGTTCCTTGGCAACTTCAAATTCAGATTTACTGACATGTCACTTCTAAAGGTAAGCAAAATCAACTGTCTCTCATAAGCCTACATTTATCTTTTTTTTTTAAACACAGGGTTCTAGTAATAAAATCTTTAAATAACAGATAATGGTTTTCATAGTAAAATTAAGTATTAAAATAACAGAAGCAGAGTGGGGCGTGGTGGCGCACGCCCGTAATCCCAGCACTTGGGAGGCTGAGGCAGGAGGATCGCTGTGTGAGTTCAAGACCAGCATGGGCTACATAGTGAGTTCCAGGTCAATCTCAACTACATAGTGAGACCCTATCTCAAAAAACCAAAAAAATAAATAAATAAAATAACAGAAGCAGTAAAAGATAGAGTTTATGTTAGATTTCAGGTTGCCTCATTCAGATGTCTACTTGGAAAGTATTTCTAGAACTCAATTCTTAATATTTCCTACTATTATTTTTTTCTTATTTTTTTAGAAATATATTTTCTCAAAGCTCATTATGATAACCTGTTTTTTGTTTTGTTTTTGGGGTATCAGAGATCAAAGTCAGGACCTTGCACATGTGAGGCAGGCATGACACCACTGAGCTAAATCCCCAGCTTGATGACCTGTTTTAAAAGTAGGTCCTGGAGGGGCCAGGGATTTAGCTCAGTAGTGCCACTGCCTGCCTTGCAAGCCTAAGGTCCTGAGTTCAAACCCTGATACCAAAAAAAAAAAAAAAAA